AAGAGTAGAAACATGAAACTTTTGTTTGTACTGTACCCGTACTATTATTGTATGTTGAAGTTTCAAAACCTAATCCAAATAAAAATCCATCTATTGCAAAAAAACAAATAAGGATAAGAACTGAAATTATCCATGCCATACGTGGTCGAGCTATTTTATTTTTAAACCATCTACTTCTTAATAAGCAAGCTCGATCAAGTTCAACAAATGTAAGAAACATAGCCGATGTATGTAATGTATAATAAGGAAAAAATTGACTCAATTTACACATAATCAATGATGACCCCCACATTGTTTGTTTATTATTTGTAAACACTTGTAATGCCCGACTTAAGTTCCATTGATAAAGTGATATGGTATCCATCAAACATAAAAATATTAAATAAACATTAGTTGATGTTTCTCGATAGGTTTTGCATAATAGTATACCAATACATAAAATATTACCTAATGTGCCAATTACAATGAGACCTATTGGAATAATGCCACCAATGATTAACTCAATAGTGTCCCACGGAGCTGGATCGGGTTTTGGAGTCCACGTAGACATCGTCGGTTTGCTAATGCGTGCTTCTTATTAAATCCTGTATAGTGAATACTGTAATAGCTTTTGAATTTATATATGGCACTTTAATAAAAACTGCATTTATTTTTCTTTGCTTAATCTTACTGCTCTATCCACATGTGGGCTGAATTTTAATCCTTTTCTCCGCTTAAAGAAAAAAAATTAATTATAGCACGCTCAAAACTAGATTATGTGCTTGAGGCATGAAGAAAATGAATAAAGAATTAACTTTCAAAAATAAATATCATATCAGATCGACAAAAATATTTTAATGAAATCCAGAACAATAGAAAAACTCTACAAATTCTTTAAAATTAGAATGCAAGTTTAATAATTATTTCTTTGAATATTGTATTTTTTTAGCAAAGTTTTATATATCTATATATAGTCATTGCCACATTCATAGTAATCGACTCTGTGAAGATAATTAGTTATAGTCATGCATCAAAAAGTCTTCTCCGATTAAAAAAGAATTAAAATTCAATGATTAAACTTAATCCGACGAATGCAATTTTATATAATCATGTAATTAATGGTTAATTTAAGAGTGGGTCTTTGTTTGTTTTGACGTAAGAGAAAGTAAATCTGAGAATGATAAATCAACAGATTGGCAGATCGAAATCTAGCGAATATTTTCAAATATATTTGACATTATTTAATTCTTTTCTTTTTTATTATGTTTTATTTTTAATTAATTAATTAAAACCAAAACATAATAAAAAAAGAAGAGAATTAAATAATGTCAAATTTCAAAGGATTTCTCCAAGTTCCTGATTAGATACTTTTCTAAATCTATATATACCCCTGGCAAAAATAAGTTTCCCTCTGTATTTTGAGGATATTGTTCCCAAAAGAACATATTTTTTAAAAAGTAACGACATATTCGGGAAGCCCGTGAAATTTTACATCTTTCTGTATTTTTATATTTTTGTTCGGACGGCTGTATAAAAAAATTCTTCCAATGAAGTGAACACACCTTTAGTACCCCATTTCGATATACCTAATACAATCATTGNGCCACAGCCCACACCCCACACCAGGGTAGCCAGTTGAAAAATTTAAAAATCAGAAATTTTTTTTTTCAAAAGCAGAAAACGATCAGAAATTTTTATGCGCAGTCAGAAATTAATCAGAAAGGGCAGCTTTTGAAAACTAGTGCGTATAATGTTAAGATGCTGGCATCTAATGCTCTACTGGGTTTGTCTTCGTGGACTAATACTTTTCTTTCAACGTTGTTTCACTGTAAAGAACGACAACATAATGAATATAGGGTTTAGCTAATTCAAAAAACTAAGAAAATACACTTACGAGGGAAGATTTCCAAGTGATTCATCGCTTTTAAGTCGGAATTCTATGAGTGATGTATGCCATAGCGAGCTATGAATATTGTGAAAAGAGCTCCGGCTGATTGCTTGTTGCTTTCAAGATGTTGCATTTTTATGGTATCCGTTTTAGCCCAATGCCATGGTCCCCTCAGAAACACGAGAAACACTGAATTGAATATCGAATTTCGACTTGAAACTTCGCTTAGAGGCAGTTGTAAATGACAATCGTTTATTGTGACAGTTTCAACTATTTTGAATGCCCCTATTCTGAAATAAGAACATTGGTATCTGCCGGTGTATGAACGATATCAAAAATATGTTATTATCATAGCCGTATCTTAGGATAGAAACAACAAAAACAAATGAAACTTTCACAACAAACGACACTCATTAAATTCTGTCTCTGTGCAAAGTTTCAAGTGGAAATTCGAAATTTAATTTTTCTTGCGTTTCTGAGGGGGTCACAGTATTGGGCTAAAAAAATACCGTAAAAACGCAGTATCTTGACAGCAGCAAGCTATCAGCCCGAACTTTTTGCGAAGTATTCGTGCCTCGTTATAACATGCATGATGCACACAGTTCCAACTTAAAAGCGATGAATTACTTGGGAACCTTCCCTCGTCAGAAACTATCAATGATCAATAGAGAATAAAGGTTGCACAGTATCGATCTATTATAGTAATGGGTTAAATCATACCTAATTTCACTAGCAAAGCTATAATCTGAAAAAGTTTAGAATTCGAAAAAAATCAGAAATGTGTTCAAATTTCAGAAACTTTCCCTGTTTTTCAGAAGACCTGGCCACCCTGGTTACAATCGCCATGTAGTAAGACCTCGTTAATCCGAAGTAAATAAAGACAAGAATAGTTCGTCAATGTATGTTTCAACTCAGAATGACAAATCAAGCGAGAAATCAGAGTGAAGAGGATTCATTTGAATATTTACTTTCTTTGATCTTTTATTCGCTGATATCAGTCCATTTGTTGAACTGTATTATCGTTTTATGTAGATAGATGTTATGTGGTTATGCCCTATCAATAGTAATAATTCGGGCATTCATATGAGAACGAACTAGCACGTTTGAAACAGCAGAAATGAAAGTCAGGAAAATCAGAAAAAATCAGAAAGCAGAAAGTCGTCAGAAAAAGTGTCAAAAATTAGAAAATTTCTGAAAAATCAAAAGATCCGGTCAGCCTGCCCCACGCCCTACTTTTCTTTGACTGAAAGAGCTGACATTTTTATAGCGTGTGTAATTAATCATAACCTTTTATTTCTAAATGTTTTAGTTCCATAACTGTTATTAATGGTAAAATGCATAAGTCTTCTAACTTGCTTTTTGACTCATCTTTTAAGAAACATTAAATGTAAAATAAATATTACACGCGTTATACAAATTTCAGCTCTTTCAATCAACGAATAGTATGAAAACTGTCGTTAACATTGTATCCCCACTTATTATGCAACAATCTGTATGACTTAGGGGTACATCTTTAGGAAACGACCTCCAGACAGAAAAACAATATACATATTTGGCGAAAAAAGGGTATGCTAGGTTTTCGTTCTTTGCAAGCACTATCAGAATATATATATAAGTTCTCAAGTCGAGTTTTCTTTTCGAAAAATTAACTTTTTTGAGTATGGGGGGGCCATTAAAATGTATTTTTGTATTGGCAACATCATTCTAATGATCTAAACGTGCAAAATTTATGTGCCAATACAGCAAAATACATCTATGGGGGACACTAGTGTCGAAAAGAAATTCACTGTAGAAATACCTGTACGAAGCTTGTTGAAAACGCGACGTAGTCCATTGAAATAAAAAAATCAATATTGAAATCACTTGATAAAAAAAATCATCCGGCAAAATCTATGGCACGATGTGTATACTTTGAGTGCATTAGTAACTTTCAAATCTTCTGTCAATCGTGTAAATCATCGGTGTTTAGTATCTTTCCTTTGCCACAAAAATTCTTCATGCCACTTTATATCAATATAAACGATACGGAAAGAAAGAATAACAAGATATTCCATGTTGCATTTCACAAATACTTCGTAACTGAGTGCTAGCTGTTTGTTTGTATCTATGAAACCAGGCAATATTCATATATACATACATATCAATGAGCAAGTGTCAGAGAAGAAGAGAAAAAGAAGAATAAAGAGAATAATAATAAGATGATACATATTGAAAAATAAAATATGATCTAGTACAACCAACACACAACCAGCGGAAATAGGTTTTATAAAGGGTGTCCCACAAATTCTGAAGTAATTTTAAAATGCATCGTTCTCGCACGTAACAAAAGCAAAATCTTTGAAACTTTGGCATATTGTTGCACATACTTAATACTACATAACTACAAAGTTTGAGATCTATAACTTTTAGTATGAATAAGAACCTATAACAACATTACCATGTACTATTTTTTCAATTTTCCGAGTTATTAACGGTAGTATATAATGAATTGCATTCTTAGTATTTTCAAAATTTCTCTTCTATTCTTCGCTTATTTGAAACATTCTTTTTTATCAAAAGATAGAGCTTGAAATCTTGCACAGAAAGCTACATTCTATTCAGTGTGTATAGTATTCTTCAATGTTCTGGATGAAAGATAACGTACAATAAAATCACTTGTAAAATGAAAAAGTTTTTCGTTTTCAGTTTTTCTTAAAGACCATTTTTATGACTTCCAACTGATAGTTTTATCTAGTTGATACCATTTGAATGTCATTAAATAGTTATGCCACGATTACTCTTCCCTTTAGAAAATGAACTAGATAAAACTATCAGTTGGAAGTCATAAAAATGGTCTTTAAGAAAAACTGAAAACGAAAAACTTTTTCATTTTACAAGTGATTTTATTGTACGTTATCTTTCATCCAGAACATTGAAGAATACTATACACACTGAATAGAATGTAGCTTTCTGTGCAAGATTTCAAGCTCTATCTTTTGACAAAAAAGAATGTTTCAAATAAGCGAAGAATAGAAGAGAAATTTTGAAAATACTAAGAATGCAATTCATTATATACTACCGTTAATAACTCGGAAAATTGAAAAAATAGTACATGGCAATATTGTTATAGGTTCTTATTCATACTAAAAGTTACTTATGCTGATATTGCACCCCAAAATATTATACCTTTTTGAAATTTATCTGTTTCTGCATGAATCAAATCAGGTTCAAATTCTTCACCTTCTGCAGCACACACAGCATTGTTTTTTTTATTATGAAAACTTTGAAGGGTAAATAAACGTGAGAAATCACAATTTATAACACGATTCCATTTCCGTTTATTACAATTTTTTCTAACACCAAATTTTTTTCTTAATCTTTTTGCACATTTAACACGTGTTAGTTTATCAATATTCGTTAGTTTTTGTGCTTTTTTCATTTTGTACCATTTTAATTTTAATTTTTTAGTTACTCTGTGGACCGAACTTTTGGACGATCTAAACTGTCCTCTTTTGAGAATAAGATCAGTTTTTCGAATAGAAGCACCTTTTTTCAATTTAATATAATTATTAACATTTTGTTGAAATTCATGTGTTGTAACAGTTACACGACGACCGGATCTTTTCTTGTCGTTAATCGTTCCTCTTTTTAATATTCATGACACACGATTGTGAAGTGATGTGTATTTTAATGGTGGTGGATTTTCACAACTTTGAATGAAGCGAACTATACGAGCAACAGTCCATGTCTTGTTCAACCGTTTTAAATTTAATACAAAACTTCTAGAATCTTTTCTTTCTTCGTAATTGATGGGCATTTCAGATAAAATTTATTATTAAATGTAAACGATCCTACATTTAAATACCCCTCTATATATTTATTAACGAATTCTAGTCAGTTTTGCGCATACAATATCACTTCTTGCTAATATTTTTCTTTCCTTTTTCATCTTACTATTTGTTTTCCTATTCTTCCGCTATTGCTCTTTTCTGCGTTTGCCATTTATTCTCTCTCTTCTATAAATTTATATGCACGTGTATGTGATAAAAATATCAAAACGTGACTTGCGAGGAGGACCGTGAAGTTATTCCTATATTCTATCGTTACAATTCTACCGTGATTCCCTATGTAGTGAAAATTTTGCACAAGATTTTTACGAAAATTTATGTTTTCAGTCGTGTCAATCGATTTCATGACTAGTCTAAGCTGACGAGCTGCAACTTTCAGAAATAGAAGATCATGATTAGATCTACATGTGATAAAAATTTCACCTCTCTAGGTCAACCAAAAATACAAAAAGTATTAAAAACAATTTATTATCAGTTATTATGGGACACCCTTTATATTGAATGTTTCTGAAAAGTGCTAATGGTGTTGACTTAAGAGAGGTTTTACTGTGTTTCTTTGAAATATAATTACAAAATGTTACGATTTTTTAATTATAACAGAATTAAATGACGTGGGATATCTAGGGTTTTTCTAAAGCATGGATTGGAAGTCAAGAGCGGTGCTCAATTAGCTATGACAGAACGGAAGTAACAATCAAAAGATTATTTTGTATTTTGACACTGGAATTTTACTAATTGCACCTGCTTTTTAAATAGAATAGGACATGACGGTTTCAAAAACAATAATGATAGTATAACATGTGTATACTTATTTATTTCCAAATGCAAATTGATATCTTAGATTCAAACTATATCCAAGCTTAAACTTCCAAATTCAAATTATGTTAATGATTTGTTACATTTCTACTTGAAATCACAACTTTAAAATATTCGTATACATATTTGCTCGTAAAATAGTATGTGAGTAATGATTTTGAATTATTCCAGTTCATTCGAATGATCCGAAATGAGATTCTTCTCTTTGATTACACTAATATTCCTTTCTTAATAAGATGATGTCAGCGCTTATCCATTGATCAAACTCGGTCAGTAATTATCTCTTTTTACAATGACGTCAATATTTATAGCTACCAAGAATGACGTCACTACTTGTCGCTCAATAGAATAATGAGAGTTCTTTCATATTGTTGTTAATTTTGTCGTCGAATCAATAATACATTAATTCTTGACTTCTATGGAACGTGTGGGTGAACTAATGAATGATAGAAATAACGTTCGTCTTTTACGCACTTTTACAGTGAGACTCCATTTACGATGCTCATATATTATAATCTGATTAATTGTTGAAATCAGTTTTCTTTCATGAGCCTATCGTTCAGCATGTTCTGTCGACATATCGTCAAAAAGAAGTACGGCTAAAACCTTATCTGCATCTTCTGGTCTGCTGAAAGTAGTACTTTTAAATGATTATTCATGAAATGTTATTATATAATAAACCATAAAAAAGCAATTGAAACACTATACTTTAAAACAAAGAGAAAATTATGATTCAGAGTTTTAAATATGTGTTCAGGTAGGAACGTCTTGTATTCAGCTTAGATAACATTAACAGATCAGGCGCGGATCAAATCCACAATAATCTTCACAAGCAAGTATTTTTTCATTTCGAAAGGATTATTTTACGGTAGCAAATACAGGATTATCTGCTAATTTCCGCTAAAAAGAATCTATCGTGCATGGTGAAACTCTCCAAGTAAGCTTTGAAGCGAACTTCACTTCATTGGCTATAGGAAAAGGTCTTATTATTTTTTTTAATTTCGCAGTAAGTTCCTAGGAATCTTCTACAAGACATCATATCAGTTTTTCCATAACTTTGTAGTATTCAGTAGGTACTACGAAACTCATGTAAACTCGGTTCTTGTAAATTTCACTCTTTCAGAACAATATTTTCTAAATTCTTAAACTTCTCCATTTTACAGAATAACTTTAACTGGGCCAATTCTACTGTCCTCACTATTTTTATTCTCGAAATGTGTCTGAATTTTACGGAAATTAAGATGTAGAGAAACTGAAAAAATAATCCTATCTAAATATCCGAAATTTTGAAAATTAGAAGACATCAAATTCGTATTCACCAGGCAAAGGATTCGTCTAGGTCCCCTAAAATACCTCAACACCACCTAGCGAATGGAAAAGTCTGTAGCACATCTATGGTAGCGTATATTTACAAAAATTCATCATTAAAAATGACGAAAATGTGAAATAAATGGGTACCATAGTAATGATGGTTATTTTTCAGCTAAGAATGCTTCTGTTACGATTACAATATCTCAGAAGAGAAAACAATTTTGAAACAAAAAAATTTAGCCTTTATCAAATCTCAATTGGAACCACGCATAGGCAAATCTTCATTGCAATGGCTAAGATCGATTGAGTATGATTGATTTTGATTTTCTTGCAGCGACTTCCTTAATTCTACTAAAGAGGCAAAGTCTCTAATGTTCTATGATGAGACGATTATGTTTTGCCATATAAAGAATGATTCATGGATTACGACAGGCAAATGATTTTTATTGTACAAGTACACAACAATTTTACAATCACAATATCAAGCTAAATTTCTAATACAAGAATGAATTATGTAATCAATGTTATTAATTCGCGGCATTCTTATAACTTTCGTATAAAAACATTTTTTTCATTGATTATTGTTCCGCGTTGTTGTTTGCCGTGTTTGCTGTGTTCGTTGCATTAGCTCGTTCTCAGTTGGCGCTTTACGAATACATTTCAAAAATAATTTATTAACATCTTCACGAAATGCAGGAACAGATATATAAAGAAAAAATATATTAATAGCATTTCTTGCATACATTAGAGTATTTGAACCAAGAAGAACCGTATCTGTATAATCATGACCCATAATCTGATCTTTAAATACGGAAAAACATAAACGATTAGGCAATGTACAAATAATATATGCCAAACACATTAATAATAACATAAAGGATATGCGACGATTACGATAAGCACTTCTTGCTAATTGATCATTTGTTGATATTTGTCCAACGAACAACTTTTTAATTGTTAGAAGTGTACAAATAACAATAATACTAAATGGTATAATATACATGATAGCTAGATGCATCTTTAACAGAAAAAAAACAATACTAGTTGTTATTAATAATTATTAATAAAATATTTACCGTTATATATGGATATATATAGAAATTATAAAAGTCAGTATTTAAAGAATAGAAACATGAAATTTTTGTTTGTACTGTACCCGTACTATTATTATAGGTTGAAGTTTCAAAACCTAATCCAAATAAAAATCCATCTATTGCAAAAAAACAAGTAAGAAAAAGAATCGAAATTATCAATGCAATATGTGGTTGAGCTATATTTTTTTTAAACCATCTACTTCTTAATAAACAAGCTCGATCAAGTTCAACAAGTGTAAGAAACATAGCCGATGTATGTAATGTATAATAAGGAAAAAATTGACTCAATTTACACATAATCAATGATGAACCCCACATTGTTTGTTTATTATTTGAAAACACTTGTAATGCCCGACTTAAATTCCATTGATAAAGGGATATTGTATCCATCAAACATAAAAATATTAAATAAACATTAGTTGATGCTTGTCGATGGACTTCAGATAATAATATACCGATACATAAAATATTACCCAATGTACCAATTACAATGAGACCTATTGGAATAATGCCACCAATGATTAACTCAACAGTGTCCCACGGCAATGGATCTGGTTTTGGAGTCCATGTAGACATTGTCGGTTTGCTACTGCCTGCTTTTTTTAAAATTTTGTATAGTGAGCACTGTAATAGTTTTTCAATCTATATATAATGCTTTAACAAAAATTACATTAATTTTCCTTTACTCGATGTTGCTGTTCTATCCACACATTGGTTGAATTCTAATCCTTTTTTATAATAAAAGGAAGAAAAATAATTATAGCGAGCTCAAAATCAGGTAATATGCTTGAAATATGAAGAAAATGAATAAAGAATTAACTTTCAAAATAGAATATCTTTTCAGATCCACAAAAATATTTTTCTGCAATCCAGAGAAAAAGAAAAACTTTGCAAATTCATTAGAATTAGAATACGAGTTTAATGATTATTTCTTTGAATATTGTGTTGCTTTTAGCAAAGTCTATATATAGTCATCGACACATTCATAGTCATCGACTTTGTGAAGATAATTAGTTATATTCATTCACTAAAATGTCCTCTCCGACTAAAAGAAAAATTGAAATTTAATGCTTAAACTTAATCTGACAAATGGAATATTATATAATCATGTAATTGATGGTCAATTGAAAAGTAGTTCCCTCGATTGTAGGGAGGGTCATATGAAAAAAATTGATTGTATGTGCGTGTCTACGTCGGATTCAGAAAAACATCAGGGTCAAGAAAAAAACATCCACTTAAGAGCCATTGCATCTAAGCCACGACCGAAATGGCGGAAACGTGCTCAATTGACCATCTCAGATTTCGCTCATTTTTATATATGTGATAAAAAAAATTGTTTGATAATGTTTTCCGAAAACCGCACCGAAAAATATTGATCCTCTGATTTTTTATTGAACTTCTACGAAAAGCCCCAAAATCCACGATCATGAGAAAACCGTTCATTGTTACGACTGTATCTCGAGAACAGCTAGACAGATCGAGCTGAAACTTTCTATCCACTCATAGCTAATGATGCTATCACCAGAAAGAATTTGAAGCAAATTGCTTATACCGTTGTTTTTCTGCAAATACCCTTTGGAGAGGTCAAAATGCTAATTTTAGCCAGTTTTGTGATTCTATATCTGGCGACTAGTGCATGTTGAAGTGTTGAAATTTTCTTTTTTCAGAAAGATCTCGATGATATCATATTTTGGCAAAAGGTTCAGCTTGCCTGAACAAAGTGTTCATTTTTAGTAACCTAAGCAAAGTCAGATTTTTCCTAAAATCGCAACTTAGGACGTTGGCGGTCTCAAAAAATATGGAACAGCTAATGAGCGGAGCACTTGGCCCTAAAAGTCTCATCTTTGGTCTACAACTTGGTGCAAAAATTGGCGTGGGATCTCTATGGGAGCCCTGGCCATTGGGGCTGCGCGGCTACCACTATACCACGTAAGTGATTTTTGACCCTAAATCTCAGCAACGATGAGAAAAGCTATTCAGGCATGATACTTAGGTAACTTTTCACGGAGAAAACGATGGTGATAATATCAAATATGTGTTCATATTCAAAATATAGTCGGGGGGACAGCGGGGAGAGGGGGCGAAGAAAGAATAGTTCATGGTTGCAAAATATAAGATTTTTGTGTACAGAGTGGGTAAAGATATTATTTCAGGGGAGGGGTGGGGGGACACTATAAGTTGAAATAGTAGATATAATTAATTTTATATCAAATGAAAGGCGGTGGAAAATGAAGTTTATTGGTACTAAATAGTAAAGACTATGAAAAATCTTTCATGCCAAACTTCAGACATTTTCAGAAATTTTATACCTTTTTGGCGTAGAAAAGTAAGGTGCCAGTAATTTTTAAACGGAGTAAATTTTTTTTTCTTCAGTATTTTTGCATGATTCGACAGAGTTCATCCAGCTCTTCAGAACTATATATGGGCGAAAAAAATTTGTAAATCATCTTTTTCAGTTAAAAAATTCAAAAAATGAGTTGGAAAATATTAAAAAAGGTTGCAAAACTTTGTTTTGTATATGCAAGTGTTAGGATGAATCTTTATTGTTATCAAAAGGATAATCACAATGACGAACAACTAGACCAAAAAGGAAGAAGAAAAACAAAGAATAATAGCGTAAACTAAACAAACCAAAACTGAAAGGAAAACAACACTCCATAAATATATATATTGATAACGAAAAACATAGATGTAGAGATAGAGAGATAGAGGATAGTGATGGATGCTAGGGAACGACAGGTGGCGTACCCTAACAGCAAGTAAAACACTTGATTCTTAAACTAAATTAGCTATTTTCATTATTTTTAATACCTTAGACATTTCGAAATATGCTGAATAGACGCAGTTTTTCATGCCGCCAGAAATGGCCACATTTTGGAACCTCTGAAGTGTTAAAAATAAGGAAAATAGCAAGTCTTATTTAAGAATCAAGTATGTTACTTCCATATAAAAAATGGACGCTTTTTAACGCTTCTTTAGCTTTTCCAAGTAGTTTTTTGAATCTTTTATCTCAAAAAGATGGCTTACAATTTTTTTTAATTAAGGGCTAAATCATTCGTTAACGGCGTGACATCGCAAACTTGGAGTATGCATATCTTGGAACTATAAGCTGGTTTATGTGTGATTTTTTGCGTGTTTTACCAGTCTCTATTTACTTTAAATGCCACAACAAAGTCAATACTCTGCAGCTTTATTTAGAGGAGTTATTAACGAAAGACAAGCGTTAGCCACGTGACAGTAAAAAGGGCATCAACTGTCACTTGATATACTTTGGTTTCTAAATATTTCCAAGTGTTCGAGAATTGTCGAAAACTTGATGTATGATAGTACACTGTTATGCTTTGATTTGCACTTAATCTTATGGACGTTCGAGTTCGTTTAAGTTAAAGCATAACTAACTCGTTTATTTCTCTTTCACAAATATATATAACAAAGAATAACTAGGGAGAGAGAGAGAGACAATCACAAATACGAAAGAGCTATAACTACATAAATAGATGGCAGAATGTAACACCCTTATCCCCCAAGAAAAAGTTTTTTGGATACAAAAATACTTTTTTGGTGAGAAAATATAACAACAAAAATAGTAACAACAACAGGGAAAAGGAGAAAAAACTGACTAGAATACATCAATATAAAATAAACTGAAAGACCAGAAAGAAAAAACAGGGAAGGATTAATAACAACAACAAAAAATGATACCAACAACAGGAACATTAACTTCCAAATACTTTTCGATAATGAAAATAACTCTGTCTGTTGAATATGTTCCTTGGTAGTTGATGTTGAGCTGTATTTCTACTTCGTCAGTCTTTCAGACCAATTAATAATTCTTCTCCACCATTTCTAACATGTTTATAATTAATATTATATAAACGAAGAATCTTCCGGATAATTGGCATTGGAAAACGAGGATACCATTTAGGTTTAATTGAATAATAATAACGTTTCTTTTTAAGTTCCGTGTTTCTTCGATGATTTCTTCTATGTCGGGGCTTGCACGGATCGTTGTTGATTCTTGGTATGTTTTTTCGTTGGTGCTGTTTCTTCTTCATCATTCGCATCATCAACCATATAATGGTTGTTGACAATTAATTCATTATCATTTAATAAATTATTATTAACTAGTATATAATCATCATCAATTGGTTCAATTTGGTCTTGTAATAAATTAATATTATTATTATTATTATCATTATCTTGTTCATGTTTAAAATCATTTGGTTCAATTACTTGATTCAAGTATATCTCATCATCCGATGAAATTTCTTCTTCATCTGGATCATTACCCCTAAATAATATAGCAAATTTTTGCATGTTGATGCTCTTAATTTTTTTCTTTTTTGTTGTTGATGTTGGTAATGGTGGAAGTTTAGTTGAATTAAATACGACGAACATTTTATTCATTTTCCTATTCTTAATTTTATCAAATGTCCATTTTTCAGTAATTGGTCGTATTAAAAATGTAACAGCCATAACATCATGTGTAGCATAATGGATCATCTTCATCCGATCAGCATGTGATAATGATGAATGACTTGATGTTAAATTTAATGACCAGTGACTTAATGTACATGATTTATCAATAAATAAGTTACACCCATACATAAATGCATTTTGAAGAGACCAAAGTTCATTAATTTTGTATGGTGATGGCGGATGACAATAACATGATGACTGTTGATGATGTTGTTGTGTAAATTCATTATCATTATTTTTATCATTTCGATGTAACAGGTTCTGGACCTCACACTGGGTCCGTGCTCAATTATACCACGCTGGAAAATGTGGTTGAATATCAAGTAATTCAGCTGGAATTGGCCAGGTAAATAATTCTTTTGCTGGTACAAGTTCTTTTTCCATGTTTCTCCAAGAATAAATTTCGTTGCCTAACCTAAAAATTAATTGAAACAATTGATGAATGTTTTCATACTTTTGTGAATTCCGATCTGGTAAATGGTTCAACTCGAATAACATTACGAATGATGGTGGTTTAATTGGTATTGAGTTAATCTGAATTCATGACAATTGATTATTTGTTCGGTCAGATTCTGTGTCTGTTGCATACTGTTTGTATGTATCCACATGATTCAATGATTTGTTTATCATATCTGTTGATGTTTTATTATTCGCAAATATAATTTCATAATCTGACGAATGAACATGAAATAATGGATAATCCTCCTGTGCTTGACTATTTTGTTTTGATTTGTTGATTGTTTTTGTTGATGAATATCGTGAGTTATGTATACGAGATGTTGCAAGACCTGAACGAGATGATTGATGATGTGAACGTTGAGATGAATAATTTGATTTTGACATGAAGATGATTTAATATAAGTAAATAATCAAGTAAACAAATCGATAATTGAAGTAAATCACTGAATAATCTAAAAATAAGTAGATAAATAATAAATAAAATGAAGGATATTGATTTGAAGACAATTTTGACCAATAGTCATTGGTCATCCATTTTTGAACATAATTCACTTGTCGTTAATATTGACCACAGATGTTATTAACATAAAGACGAATTAACAATTATTCGGATCGCTTTTTTCAGAAACATTCCTTTCGAGAAAGTTTCCATCAATGATTCATCATCATTTTTTTCTTTCATTGTAAATATTATTGTTATTAATTTTCCATTTGGATTTGATAATAAAATTGGGTTTTTAATGCGCGCATATTAAAATATCAATTAATCCAATCCGTAGATGATGAATGTTATTCCATATCAGTTGTTGCGCATACATCTACCATAGTATAACATAAAACATCGTTAACATAAATCTTTTCCAAAATCAATAAGAAATATTTATCAATGAATGAATAATAAAAATGATAAAAATATTAATAATACTATCAATAAAAATATTTGTAAAAATTTTAATAAAAATTTTAATAAAAATATTGATGAATCTGGTGTTGTTGATTTTTGTTTTACTTTCTTTTATTTATTAATTTGATTTTGAAACATAAATGGGTCTAATATCATTTATGTGTACCCGTGTTTCACATTGAGTTATTTCATCTTTAACAACATAAACAGGATATTTCTCTCGAATAACAATTTGTGGTGTAACTGAATATTTTGGTTTTTAATTTATTTTTCATTCCATGTCTTCTAATTAAAACACGATCATTTATTGCATAATGAGGATCAGGACGTCGTTTATCATATTGAGTTTTATATTGATGTTGTTTACGAATAATATTTTCACGTGCATATCCATGTATCAATGGACGGGGGCGCATAAGAACAGGAATCGGCCCACGAACAAATTCTCATAAGAAGTTTATTTTCCGATGCAGAATTTTATGGCGAATCTTTTGATGCCAAATTCAATATATTTTCGAAACCATTTGATGCCCTTCGGCCCATGCCAATTATACTCTATTTTTGCCCAGTGCAGAGCGATTATGCTTGTCAAAACATTATTTCATAAAGCTTCAAATACGCTCATTTGAAAGAGCGTAAAATTCTGCACAAAACCGTATATGAACCAGCTAAAAATAATCAACATCAGTAAAAATTCTTTAGCAAATACTATGTTTTTACCCACATTTTTAGGAGGTCATCGAGTTTCACGCAGCTGAGTCAATTAGGAATTGGTCCTACGATGGAGTTTCTTGTTCATGGTCAGATGCAGTTTTCGACGGGCTACACGATGGTGTGATTTTTATCTCAAAATTTCATTGGCCACAAAATTTTATAGGGACAATGCCGCTGGCAAGAGGGATTTTTTCATATGTATCCTTCTTTGTGGGCTCCAAAGTGCTTAAGAAATGTCTTTACGATGGACTTTCGTCTTCATGGATAGATGCAGTTTTTCACGAGCTACACGTCGGTATGGTTTTCATCTCCAAATTTCATTGGCCAAAAAATTTCACAAGGACAATACTTCCGAAAACAGTGATTATTTCAAGTCCATGATATCTTTACGCTTCCAAAGTGCTTAAGAAATGTCTTTACGATGGACTTTCGTCTTCATGGATAGATGCAGTTTTCCACGACCTACACGTCGGTATTGCTTTCATATCAAGATTTCATTGGCCACATTTTTTCTAAGGTCAATACTGCCCGAACTGGCGTTTTTTTCGATTTCAGGCTTCAAAGCCACTTCTAAAGTGCTCCACAAACCACTTTACGACGGGCTTTCCGAATTAGCAGTTGGATGCAGTTTTTCACGGGCTACAATTTGGTACAGTTTTCATATCGAAATTTCATTGGCCAAAAGTTTCCCAAGGGCAATATCGCGCGAAATGCCGGTTTTTTCGATTTCAGGTTTCTAACCACCGTGGATAGTGGTTCAAAAGCCACTTTTGATGGTCTTTTCAGTTAAGTGTTCGATGCATCTAGAGTGCGGTTAGACCCTCGTGCAGGTTTGTCCACAGTTTATTGGCGAGAACATGGCAAGAGCAAATACTGCCTGTCATTCGGATGATATGTGCTGTGAGGGTGGAAGATAGCGGTACAACAAAGCCAAGACCTTCCGATTTGGCGTAGAAAAATTTGGGCTTTGTTTCCCCTTGGATTAATATTTCGATTTGGGTGTGGGTGTAATCTTAAATTACCCAAATCTGAAGACACGTTGTAAGATAAATATCAGAAGCGAGAAAGCAATGTGAAGGCTTCCAATTCAATTTAAAATAGTTTGGATTTGGATGCGCTGTTTAAGATTTGGTTGTAGATCTGGGCTTTTGATTTGGCTGTTACATTCGGATTTTGTTTCGTTGTAATATAAGTCCAAAGTTGGGATCATTTCGGTCTAAGACCCCAATCCAAACCAACTCTAAAGTCAAGTCAAAATTCCCAACAACAGCTGAATCCTAAGCGGTACCTCCAAACGATGCTCACAATCCGGAGCCCCCAATTGAAACGAAATCCAAGAGCAGAACTAAATCTCAAAGATTTGTCGCAAATCCAAAACCTATTTGGGATTGATTGCATCCTTCCGGGATAGAGGTACTGTATTCATATTATCAAGTTTCACGTGAATCATGTTGTTCTTTGAACTCGTGACATGTTGTTCAGACTTGCTCAGGCGTATCCCAGTGGAAAATTTTCGATTAAGAATCCCATTTTTGTGAAACAAAATCAACATTTTAATCGATTAAGTAGATTTCCTTTGTTTCCTCACAAAGGAAATCCATTTAATCGATTAAAATCTTGATTTTGTTTCACAAAAATAGGATTCTTAATCGAAAATTTTTCACTGGAATGTACAATGGCAGGGACTACCAAATTTGCAACGGTTACAACCCTTGACCAAGTTCTTATCAATCCGATTTCAACCAATCAACCAACTTCGAATGATTTTCACACAATCCTATAATTAATCTTTACCTCCACACAATAAACATCAACTTCCTGTGCCGAATGAGAACGCATATAATTAAAATACTAGGCAGTACTTCCTTTTGCATAATATTCCCAATAAAATGTGGAAATGAACACTATGCCAGCATCCAAGCCCCGAAAAATCGCAACGAACCTTTAATGGGAAAATCCATCGTAAAGTGGTTTGTGAAGCACTTTAGAAGTGGCTTTGAAGCCTGAAATCGAAAAAACCGGCAGTTCGGGCGGTATTGACCCTAGAAAAAATTTGGCCAATGAAAACTTGATATGAAAACTATACCAAATTGCAGTCCGTGAAAAACTGCAGCTAATCCTCAGCATGAATACCGAAATTTACGTGGTAATCTGAATAAAGTACAAAATCGATAAATTGACTACGTAGTAAGAAGTTAATCCATGCCGAACTGACAAAATCACCCGAACATATATGATGATAAATAGGTTTGATGGAGATGAATGTCTCATGAGATACAGAGAACGTACTACAAGGACAAACAACACAATCTCCGTAAACTTGTGCAAGAGTAGTATATTGAGTTTCAGATGGATTGAGTATAGTTTCATGGTGAATTTCTTGTGTTAATGATGAATATAGAGCCAAAATGATGGATGAACCTATGAGAATAAATATGTGGAGTCGAGTGCCTATGCGTTGACAGCGAATATGACGATCATCAGATGATTGATTGTTGAAGAGATTAAGTTCAACTGAGAGTTGTTTGAAACGTACTTTCAGTTGATGAAATCGAATAGATACTGAAAATTAACAAATAATAATAAGCTTCCTCAAAAAGTACGTTGAATCAGTGATGATTCGATGTTTGGTATATGAGAGTCATATTATAGCTCCTGCTATTTTCAAAAATTTACAGGCAAATATTCGTAGATGTACAATATTTTTTTCAGAGTTGACATTTTGATTATAAGTGTAATTTGTCAGGACTAGAGAAATTCCAATAGAGTATGTGCCTCTAGTCTCTTCATTTGAAATTATGATCGTTTTATTGTATTTTCCATCAATTGAAAGAGATTAATCGAGCAAATCGAATGATGAAATTTCGACCTAAACTTTTGCTTATAGAAAGATTTAATGATTTCTGAAATTCACCAAAAATGTCAAGCAAAATGAGTAGTTCCTTTTCTAAATAATTGATTTTCAAAATGACAATGAAAGTGAGCGAGGGTGTGAAAGTTGCGGTCAAATATTTATGAGCCAATAAGGATGAAAGTAATTTCTCAAAATTGATCAAAAATTCCAGCAGAACAACTATCACTTTTCTATTTGTTACTAATGAAGGTCAGCTTGATTGAAACTCACTTTTTACTTGTCCATCAATGAGACTATTTGTCGGCTTTTTTCTAGCAAGAAAAGTACGTTTCACGCGAACTTCTACCTCTTTTGCGCTACTGTGCTTCATGTTTTTAATGTTCCTTATAAAAATATTATTCAGTAGAATAAATAGTTTATTGTGCTGTGTTGTCTTTCCACACTTTTGTCATTCACATATTTTCTAAATGTGAAAAAATTTTAATTAAAAATCCGATTACTCTAACTCTCTTTCGGTGAATCGATGTTTATAACATTAACATATCAGAATCAGGTGTTCCTCAATAATAGACAATACATTGGAGATGATATATCACAAGAAAATCAACAGGCATCCGACTACGCTAACATTTATCAAATAACGGGTTGTATGCTACTTACGAGATGGTCATGCAGTGGGCTCAATTTTGTTTTGTTTTGGCCGTCGTATGAAATTGACAGCAGCTGGAATAATTAGGGTCAATACCGATGTTAAGCCTCCAAGAAGTCCCATGATACGATCAACGATTGATTGAACTGTTGAGTTCGGTTTGAAAAGATTCTCTTTGAGTAATGCCATTGCTGTGAAACTCTCATTCGTAGATATCGATGAAAGAATCTTATTCAAACACGTCTGATTGTAAAAACACTTGA